GTTGTTGAGTACTACCTTTAGAGGTAGTGCCCGTTCTTGGGCACTGTGCCCAATTTCATTTGAAAGCGTCGTGTTCAAACTGGGAGCCAAAACAAATGCCGGGCACCCAGTCTGGACGCAGCCTTAGTTTAGTCGAGGCTTCCTCGTATAGTAACACTGGATCAATAAGAGATGATCCTTACCGGACCTTCAGGAAGAACAGTTTAGAACTGATAGAACTATCCAGTATAAATAAAGTTAGTTTATAGTTTAGGTTTCCTCCTGTAGTAATTAACACTGGATCAATAAGAGATGATCCTTACTGGACCTCTAGGAAGAACAGTTTAGAACAGATAGAACTATCCTGTATAAGTGAAGTTAGTTTAGTTTAGGTTTCCCCCTGTAGTAACACTGGATCAATAAGAAATTATCCTTACTGGACCTCTACGGCTCTAGGAACAACAGTTTAGGATTGATAGAGCTATCCAGGCCAGTATAAATAAAGTCAGTTTAGGTTTTCTTGGATCATTAAGAGATGATCCTTACTGGACTTCTAGGGAGAACAGTTTAGAACTGACAGAGCTTAAATAAATAGATAGAGCTATCCAGTATAAATAAAGTTAGTTTAGCAATGGGAAGAATGCTTCCTATATATGTGACTGTATATGTAACAGCTGGCTAGCATATTGCAGAAATCTAGCCTTGATCTGAGATAAGATATATGAGCCAATAAGATAGAAAGTATAACTTGTGTAATACGGTGTATGTTTTCAACATTTTTAATCAATAGTTAACCTGCCCGAAATCAGATTTGAGTAAACTTTAAAGCAGGTCCCATTGTTTTGACAAGATTATCAAAGAATCGTCGCAGACAAAAGTAAACGTTTGTATTTATTTTTAGTTGACTGAATTTAAAGAAAACAACAAGTACAGCGGCTTAAAAATATTCTATTATTGTACAAGGATTATAAAGTCGTTGGTAAAATAAATTAAGTATTGAAGAGGAAGGCATTAATATTCATTATTCATAAAGGAAGATAATTACTAAAGTAGTTCACTTGTCAAAACTCGAGTGCTTGACGCCTGTACGTTGCATTATTGGCAAGCTTGACGTTTAACGTGGCTTTAGTTTAAATTAACAAATTTTGACGAGTAAACGTGATATTCAAACGTCACTTTTACCGTTTTTGCCGATAGCTTTGTCATGCCATTGGCGTTGAATTCGTTTGTCTTTTGAAAAGGTTTATTGGACCGTTCAGATTATTTGTCCTTTCCAGCCGACGGATTCAAGTGTATTTATAAATCGGCGTGTCATTTGTCTGTGGCTTAAAGTTTTAAACTGACTCGTTGGAGTTCCTTTGCTGCTTTTAAAACGGTGGTGAAAATGGTTTCGCTGCGGTTTATAGCTGCCATACTGGCAACCAACTTTATATGTGTTTTCTCGTCCGATGTGATGTCGGATTGTGTTAAAGGAATGCGGATACTTCACGAATTTAACGATAAGTTACTGCTTGGCGAAGAAAATATCTCGTTCTCACAAAACAAAGACCAAATCGTTATCGTCACAAACGTCGCCTCCTTCTGAGGTATAACTGTTGAACAGTATCAACAATTGAATGCATTAGTTAAAGAATTTAATACAACTCGTTGCCCATTGAAGGTCTTCGGTGTTCCTTGTAATCAATTCGGATTACAAGAGCCAGGTCAGGGGATTGAAATCGTGAAATCGTTGCAGTATGTAAGACCTGGGAATGGATTTAAACCGAATTTCGATTTATTGGTAAAAAGGGACGTTAATGGAGAAAAAGAGGATGCCCTCTTTACTTGGCTAAAGGTATGTTGTTATCAAGCCGATATCAGAATGTGTTCGCACTGCTTGTTCCCAGTTGTTGTGACAAGTCTGGAACAAGTTGTTATCACCTTGTTACAAGGTTGATGACGGTAACAGACTTGCTACAAGTTGTTCCAGCGAGACTTAGGCTATGTGCACACGGGCGTCGTTTTGCAGCGTTTTCAAAAACGTTTTTGTCCGTAAAATCGTTTTGACGCCGTATTCGCACAGCCCAAAGGAAAATATCTCGGATATATTAAATAAACTACAACTTCTGTCGTAAATTGATAGTGTTTGTATCCGTTTTAGCGTGAAAACACAAATGAAAACGCTCGAAAACTTTACCGTGTGCACATAGTCTAATACAGGCTGTTCGTAACAAGGTGCTACGAATTGCTTGTTGCCATCAACTTGTTAACAAACTGGTTACGTGCAGACGATACCAGACTTATAAAAATTATAAGCACTATATATATATATTACTATACTTATTTATTAGCACTGATGAAGATCCGGGCTTACGGATCGAAAGCTTTGCAGTAATAAATTTACGTGGTGTTTCCACAAACAAAAACATTTATATTTTATCGCCATGCAAACATTCAAAGAACTGATACCAGACTTGTTGGAACAACTTGTTGCGAGTTCCAGACTTTTCAACAACTGGGAACAAGCAGTGCGAACACATCTTAGGCAGCGTTTACACTGTACCGTTTTCGTAGCGTTCTCGTATTGTTCTTAATCCTCAAGGGAACGCAAGACAATAGTCTAGTTCTCTCGAACAATACGAGAACGCTACGAAAACGGTACAGTGTAAACGCTGCCTTAATGACAAGCTGTAAGGTTTTTACTAGCTAGCCTGGTCCATGTAAGTCATGTAATCGCAGCCCCAAAAACTCTATACAGTAAGACACAATTGAAACTCAGCCCGGCCTGAAACCTCTTTATTATTATTATTATTATTATTACAACATCTTTATACACGGTAACTAATCAACCCCATTACCTATCAGTATTTACAAAAATTATAAAGGTTGTTTTTCATTAGAGGGTCCTGAAGGGGTAAAATGGGAACTGGGATTGATCTATTTTTAGACTGGGAAAATGGGATTTGGGTTGCTGGGACTGGGATTTGGCCACTGGGAATGGGAAATGAAGTCCACAAAAATGGGAATGGGATTGAGGTAATGCGAGTCGATTCCCAATTTTTCTGTGTTTTGAGTATTTTAAAATACAATTTTGATCCGTTTTTGGTGTCTTTGGTCATGATTTTTGTTGTTAACTATATTATTCACAGCACTACCTGCGAACAGGCATACTCTGGCGCCCGGAATTCTGGGTTTTATGATTATGCGTGTCTCAGAATGCTGCAAATGCCATTTCCGGGATTCAAATTTTATAATTTTCCGTGCCTTCGGCACGAACTCCCCCCTAATATTTCATAAAGTGTCCGCCACTTGCTTAAAAGGTCTTAAAACTGTTTATTCTACCGATAAATAAAGGGGTTTTTATTGACTGGGATTTCAATAACTGGGACTGGGATTTCTAATAAAAATCCAACTGGGACTGGGATTTTGCCAAAATTTCAGGTGGGAAATGGGATTGGGACCCCCCCTTCAGGACCCTCTCATTAGGCCGTGTTATTAAATACAAATTAAAACTCGAAATACTATTATATAAACTATTATAAAAATATTAAAAGATACTAAGAAATATTTGGGTCGAAGCGATACGTTAAATATATATATTACAAATGAATTAAGTAGATTTAAAATTTTTACTATTATACAGGGTGTATCAAAATAAACGCAATTCATCTTTTGTGCTTAATAACTTTCGAAATACTATTTCTAGTTAAACGCTTTTAGGCTTACTTCAAAGCCTGTTCTTTTCTCTTTCAAATAAACTATTATCCTTGTCTCCAATACTTGTAATAATTGCACAGGAAA